AATTTGTAGAAGTTAATGTAGCTAAGAATTTCAAATATGACACTACAAAAAAAGAGGCAGATTCTATCATTTATTTTATTAGTTTATATTAGTTTTTATTGACACAACTAAAATTACATCATTTTTTTGAGTGACTTTGAAAATGTTGACTCTAATATTTTGTATCAATAAAAAAGACCGAAGTAAATATTTTCATCATTTATTATAACTAATGTTAATATGTGTCGCCTATGAAAAATGAAACTAAAGTTTACATCAGTTTGTATAAATGATGTTAAATATTTGTCTTGATTATAACAATTGATGTTGAATATTTATATAATATATTTAGTTGATTTTATAATTACATTAGTTATTAAAAAAAAATTAACATTATCTGAGATTAACTGATGATAAATTTAATATTAATTTTTTATTAAACATTATTTAATCAAGAAAAGAAGCTAAAAGGTTAATCATGTTTTATTGGAATTAACTCTCATTGATTTTAGTTGCCTATAATCAGCATATCTATGACTTTATTTATATAAGGGATTTGTTTTTTCAATCATTCAACAATTGGCGATGTGGGACAATTTGACTTTATCAATTTGCATCAATAATTAATATAAAATAACATCAGTTTAATCTAACAGATGTAAAACGATTAAATAATTCTAATTCTAATTTTATTAGTATCAATTTTTAGTGATGTAAAATTTGAATCATTTGTTTAGTCATGTTAACATAAATTAGCAAATACATAAATTATTAAATTGATAAAAATCCATAATTTTGTATCAATTTTGTTGAAATGATGTAAACTAATAAACATTTGTATCAATTTTATTAAATCGATGTTAAATTAATTAATAATAACATCAATTAACATAAGTGATGTTAGATAACAAATTTTACATCATTTATTAATAAATAATTCAAAATAGTATCGTTCAGTTTTGTGATATTATTTAATTGATGCAATACACACATTTTTTTATAGTATGAGTGCTCTTTAACCCTTTCTATAGGGTAAATGTCAATTTTCTATTTACTATTTGTTCGTGGTCCATATACTAGTTAGTTCATATAATATTTTAACTAGTTTGTATACCACACGCAGGGCCGGTCCTGAGCATAGACCAAGAGGCAAGGGCCTTAGACCCCCAAATTTTTTTAATTTTTTAATATTGAAAATAGGTCTCCAATTTTTTTTTTTTACGAAAACACCCCTAAATTAAAAATTTATTGTTAAATCCCCTAATT